TATTTTTAATAAAACCAACATTTTTTTATAAAAAGAAGAACGAATAGATAAAATTTATAGTAAATTATCTATTTAGTCATTTATTTATTATTTTATTTATTTGACTATTTATTTAAAAAAATTATATTTAATGTTACAATTTATTTTTATTTTAGTCATCCATCGTTAAAAATATATGGGTGACTAAATAAGTAGTTTATCTTAAAAATTTATAAACCTAAATTTATTAAATTGTTTAGTATTATAAAATTTACAAATGTTATTAATTTAGAAATAGACATAGCATTGACATAGCATATGAACATATCACACTAAATGGGCCATGATATTAATCAATTGATTTTGATATTATTTTTTTTGATTAAAGCATATGAACATTATCACACTAAATGGGCTTGATGTTGGGCACGTTGTTGAAGATAGTTTAAGGAAGTGTCTCTAATTATTTAATTGTTTATATCAAATATATAGAGATTTATAATTATAATATTTCTTTTAATCTTTTAACCGTATGAGATTATTATAATTTATTATATAATATTTATTTATAATTTTTTTAATTATTCTATAGACGCTGTCGTTGGAATCCGAATTTTTAAAGAAAAACAACATTCTCTTTATTGAAACCGCTTAATCTTAACACCTTATATGGCTCAATCAATTGATAATTAATAAATAATATTAATAAATTTTATAATAAATAATCGATAAAAAGATTGATTTGGTTGAAACTCGACGTGTATACACTCAAAAGTTGCTTCCAGTTAATACCTTAAAAGCCTTATTGTTTACGAGGAGAGCAATTCAAGTAGCATAGGTACTTGTTTGATTGTTTCTCTACCGATTTCTAATAATAATATTAATTTTTCATTTCATTTAGAAATAAAAGTTTTTTATATTTAGTATTAGTTTAATATTTTTTTTAAATATAAATTAATTATTTTGAAAACTAAGATTCAAGATAATTATTCTGTCAAATATTAAGACTAGATTTTGATACTATCCTTTTTGTAGGGACATGTATGGGGCTTTTCATCTAATGCTACACTATCCTAATCCGAATATGCAATCCTCTATGGGCCTTTAACCTTCAGATTTTGGGATCGAAGCTCATTAAGAGGATGATTTGGACACGATCACAAAAGTTAGCCCAAAAACCGAATATTAGCTCTATTGGGCCATTGCCGTCAATCTGGGTTTTCACATCAACCGAATCCAGCACACAAACACATTGCAGGCAAGTTAGCAAACCGCGAAAGTTATCGGAGTATGACATTTCAGCTACACAAGGATTCAGAAGTTTGCTTTAGATCTAAGTGGGAAAAAGAATAAAATAAAATATACGAACACAAATTACATGCACCCGCATAAGTTCGCATAACTTACGAAATCTGAAGCAAGATTCGGAACCAGAAAACCTCAGTTACGGCGCCACGTTATCGACCAGATCGCGGCAATTCCAGGTATTTGCTTTCGCAATCCTTCAACAATTATTTTTGTTGGCAATCAAATTTGTCTTTTTTTTTATGATTCTCTGGTTCAGGATTAGAATCTTTTGTTTTTCTTTTTTGAATTTATATAGGCTTTTATTTTATTTTTGATTTCTTGAAAAAATGTTAGAAAAAGAAAATGCTATTAAGTAATTCATTTTGCGAAGCACGGAAATTTCAGGTATTGCTATTGAAATCTCTCAACATTTTTTTGGTCATCAATCAAATTTTTTTTCTTTGTGATTTTCTGGTTCAGGATTTGAATCTTTAGCTCCTTATTTTTTGAATATTGGGATTGACGATTTTGTTTTATTTTCGGTTATTTGAAATGTTAGAGAAAGAAAAACAAACAAAGTTATTCATCTTGCAAAAGTTTCCCATTAAAATTACACGCATACGTATGTACTTTCAAAAAACTTCAACTGACATGGTCGAACACTGCACTATTGGTGGATTCAATATTTATATAAATTGATAGTAATTGTTTTCGTTCTTTTCATTCAAGATTGTTTGTTGTGGGCGTAGTTAAGAGGGAGATCCTGATGGTGATCGAGTCTTGGTTTTGATTTCGGGAGTCATCAGAGAGGGAGCAAAAACGGAGCGGATCGGATGGACAAGAGCAATAATCGTACTGATCTGCTCGCCGCTGGACGTCAAAAGGTTTCCATTATATTTACTTATTCATCCTTGATTTTGGGCTTTGATCTCCTTTTTCCCAACTAGACTGGTTGTCTGGTTATATTCTTTCTCTTCAATCATTATATTTTTCTTTGAGGTAGGAATTCCCTTGTTCACCATCATGGTACTACTGATTTTGATTTGTTATCACCCTGGAAACTGATTCTTAGTGTTTCGTCAACCCATGTTTAGTTTAGTTTTTTTAATAAAAAAGAAAAGAGCTGAAGAAAATCAAATTTGTCTTTCGTATTCTGAACATTCGATAGGATTTTAAGTTTTGGTGTTTCAGTTTCCTTTATTTACTTTGTATAGGCATTTTGTTTCTAGCTTATGATATGCAACTTCTTTGTCTGTTTTTAAGGTAGGTTTGGTTAATGTACAATTTAATGTCATCTTTTTCAGCTTCAACAATTTCGCCAGAAGAAGGATGGTAAAGGAAGTAGCAGTCGAGGAAAGTCTTCCAGAAAATCCAACAAAGCTGATGCTGATGCAGCATGTTCTGTTTCCAAACCAACAGTCCTGCCACAGTTCTCTGAAGGGGAAACTACTGCCGTTGACTTGGCTGTGTCACAGTCATCAGAGAGTTTACTGCCTTCTGGGCTTGATTCTACTGCAGTTGTTTCTTCACCAGAGCCTATTGTATCTGTTGCAGGAAATGTTGAAACTGTATTACCCCATAATGCTGGAGTACCCACTGAGGTTGTAGCCCTCGGTGAACGTGATGTTGATTCTTCAGCCTCTAATGGAGGGGAAAGTACTCCGTGTGTTAATAGTATGATGAGCACAGAAATACCTTCCTCAACTGCAGATAAATCGGCTTCTGAAGGGGGAAGAAAACATGATATTTTGCCACATACATCTACTTCAGTTGTTGCCATAGAAGGGACAGTGGTTAAACTAGATTTGGAAGATGCCAACAAGGAAATAGGGCACAATCCACTGCTTTCACAAGATTTTCCTGATACATCCTTATCTCAAGCAAAGGGAAGATCAGGTACAGATGTAGGTTGTGTTCTTCTTCTCTTGGTACATAGTTTTTAATTTCTTTTCTCATACACTGTGTTAGGCAATTGCATTGGGTAAATTTCAGATGAGTTATGTACGGTTTGATGAATAATTAAGTTCTTATTTGTTGCGGGTAGGGGCAATGCAGGAAGCTGATGGTTTGGGGTTGAACCAATTTGACAGAAGTGGTGAAAGAACGTTTGAAGTTGATGGTGAACTTCCGTTGTCCGAGCATGTTGACTGTGTTAAACCTCTTGAAGGGGCAACTTCAGAAGTAACTAGTGTGGAGGGGCAATCCAGTGAGGCAGAGCAATCCATCAGTAGAGATGATGCATCTCTATCTACTGCGGCAGCCAGCAGTTCCCCAGGCAGATGAAAGTTTGGCTGCTAATTATCAGTTGATAAATAAACATGCTGAAGAAGTAATATCTTGTTCACATGTTGAAGAAGAACAAGAAATGTGCTCTCCATCTGGTGATTATGGTGATGACAAGACTTTAGAAGAAAAACAGCAACATTTACCTAAGGGGTCCTTTGTGTCTCGGGATGAAAGTCATGAAAGATCTCATCTGACAAAACGGGCAAGTTTATCAGATACGACTATGTCTCTTCTTAGAGATGGTTCACCAGTCAGACTATTTCAGCTGGTAGAGGTGATAAGAAGTCTAGATGAAGATGAATATAGGCATCTACTAAACTTGCAAGTATTAGTTTCTACTGCAGATGTTGGGCCTGATAGTTTAGCACCATATTACCATCCTGGTTTATTTGAGAAATTGAAAGAGGAATTATATCTCACAACTTACACAAAAGATATAGTGTACTTGCAGCTTGCTGAGCAGTCTGATATTCGTATGGAATCTGATCAACGTTATCTGCAGCTTATTGATGAGATATCTGTGCTTCGCTCTTCCATCAACAAGGTTCGTGAGAGTAATGCATGCCTTGTAGATGAGCTAGGAGAGTGCAAGTCTGAACTTCAGGCTTCACAAGATGAGAAGTCCAACTTAAATGGGAACCTCACTTTAGTTACAGAGGAGAGAAAGAAGCTCGAGGAGGACAAGGAGTTTTTTTTCCATGAGAACAAGAGACTTGCTTCTGAGCTGCATGTTCTTCAGGAGCAGTTAGCTACAAAACATGGGCAACACATACAACTTGAGGATGAGCTAAAAGAAGTAACAGTACGCCTTGAGAAACTAATAGAGGAAAATAGTTTACTCAATGCCAGTCTAGATGCACACAAGGTTGGGATCGCAGAAATTGATAGTAGGGAAACCCACAATGTTGAAGCTGGGATTCAAGTAGAAAATTTGGAAGTGGGTGGTGGGGTTCATGAAAATGCTACTGAAAATGAACATTGCTGTCAGATCCCTTGGAAGCGAGATCCTGAATTATCCACTGTGGTATTGGAGAAAGCCTTACCTATTGATGCTGGTGGGCTGTCACTAGAGCTGCTTGAGCAGGAAATCTTTGATGATTGTTCTGGTTTTCTAATCTTGAAGGAACACTTGGAGGAGGCTGAAAGAATATTTCAAAACCTTGGAAAGGCAATTGAACAGATGCACTCCCACTCAGTGTCATTACAGCGGTCCAGCAGTAAAGTAGCTGTGCCCGGAGTATCGAAACTAATTCAAGCTTTCGAGTCAAAGATGCCTCATGATGAAGCTGTGGTTGAGGAAAGAGGTTTGATTGAATGTCAATCGCTGGGGGACCTGTTTATTTCAACTAAAGAGATGACAGAAGATCTGAAGGCTGTACTTAAGCTTATGGTTCAGGATGCTGATAATGCCAGTTCCTTATATAGAGGAGAGAGGGATCGTAGAAAATCTGTTAATTTGACATATGGGGAGCTCATGGCTCTACATGAAGCTTTTGAAGGAATACAGTGATACTCTTGAAGCAAGCAATGTTAAGCTGGAGGTTCTATATGAAGCTACTAAGCAGCATGCAATTTTAATTGAAGCTAAGAACAATGAACTTGAGCTTCTTTATGAAGCTCTAAAGAAGCAAGAAAGTGGCTGTAGTTCAGAAAATGCTGAGCTTTCTCAGAAATTGAGTGAGTATCAGTTGAGACTTACAGAAATGCAGGGTCGCTTTTCTGATCTACAGAAAAGGTCAGATGAGATGGCTTGTGATTTGATTCAACAGTTAGAACGCTCACAGAAGGAAGCCGCTGAGAAGGCATTGACACTTGAACTAGAATGGAAATCTCAGGTTACTCAGATTGTTGAAACAGTCAGGAGGCTTGATGAGTATGCTGGGAGGGTTTCCAACTCCAGCTTCTCAAATAACAGCAATGATATTTTATATACAAGTAGCCAGGTTGCAACATCTGTTAATTCTGCCATTAAGTCAATTCAAGATCTGCAGGAGAAACTACAAACTGCTAATGCAGGTCATGATGCAATATCTAGTTCACACAAAGAAGTGAATGAGAAGAATAATGATTTGCTCAGGACGAATGAATTTCTGACACGGATGCTGCTACAGGAGATATACAATGGCCTAAAGAAACTTGTGATTGATTCATGCGCATTGGGTGAGGCTGGGATAAACCCACAAGTTGAGGAGCTTCCTGATCTCTTAGATTACAGTACGTATACAATCTTTATTGAACAACTGGAGAATGTTTTGGGTGAAAGGCTACAACCCCAGTCTGTTAATGAGCGGCTTAATTCAGAATTGACGAATAGAATAAGAGACATTAATGAAATGAGCAGAGAATTCCTTGATTCAAATGCCATTCAAAAGCTTATAGAGCATGTTGCGAATGTTGTAGAACTGGAAGACTATGGAACAGAATCAGATAAAGCGCCTGCTTCCAGCCTTGAATTGTTAGTTTATTCGCTTGTTAAGAAATACAAAGAACTTGTTAAGCAGGCGAGTGATTGCAAAAAGGAGTCTGGATCTAAGGTGATTGAATTGACTGAATTGGAGGAAAAGCTACATCAGTTAGATTCATTGAGGCTTCAGCAGGAACTGGAAATCCTCACACTGAAAGAAAGCCTGCTCCAGGAAAAGGAAGTCCTTGTGACTGCACATTCTGAGTTACAGCAGAGAATAAGTGAACTTGAACAGTCAGAGCAGCGAGTATCTTCTGTTAGGGAAAAGCTCAGCATAGCTGTGGCAAAGGGAAAAGGTTTGGTTGTTCAGCGGGATGCTCTTAAGCAGTCACTTGCAGAGACATCTGCTGAACTAGAGAGATGCTCTCAGGAATTACGAGCAAAAGATGCCCGGATTCAGGAATTAGAAATAAAACTGCATACTTACTCAGAGGCAGGTGAGCGTGTGGATGCTCTGGAATCTGAACTTTCATACATTCGCAATTCAGCTACTGCATTAAGAGAATCGTTTCTTCTCAAAGACTCCGTACTGCAGAGAATTGAAGAAATTTTAGAAGAACTGGATCTGCCTGAGCATTTTCATTCTAGAGATATTATTGAAAAGGTTGATTGGCTAGCAAGGTCCACCGCTGGTAATTCTTTGCCTCCCACTGATTGGGAACAACAAAGTTTGATTGGAGGTTTACATTCTGATGCAGGTGTTTTTTCTGTGGATACCTGGAAAGATGATGCACAACAGGGCTCAACATTAGGGGAGGACTTGAGAAGAAAATATGAGGACCTTCAGAGCAAATTTTATGGGTTGGCAGAACAAAATGAAATGCTGGAACAGTCCTTAATTGAGAGGAACCACTTGGTGCAAAAATGGGAGGAACTTTTGGATGGAATCTATATGCCTTCACAATTACAGTCCATGGAACCTGAAGAAAAGATTGAATGGTTAGGAGGGGCACTTTCAGAAGCTAATCATGAAAAAAATTCTTTGCAGAAGAAGATTGATAATCTTGAAAATTATTGTGGGTCACTAGCTGCTGATTTGGAAGAGTCAGAAAAGAGAGTATCTAGTCTTGAGGCTGACCTTCAATCAGTTATGCTGGAGAGGGATGCTCTTTCAGATGCTAAGCATGAAAGAAATTCTTTGCAGAAGAAGATTGATAGTCTTGAAAATTATTGTGGGTCACTAGCTACTGATTTGGAAGAATCAGAAAAGAGAGCATCTAGTCTTGAGGCAGACCTTCAATCAGTTATGCTTGAGAGGGATCAGTTTTCTGAAAGTTTGGAGACTACAACTTCTAATCATCATAACCTTTTGGCAAAGGCAGCTTATTTTGAAGTTGAGAATGAAAAACTTCAGATTAGAGTTACTAGTTTGCAAGAAGAATTGGTTAAGAGGATTGAGGAGGGGGAACATCTTTTTGAGATAGATGGTGAGATAAGGAGATTGCAGCACTTAGTTTCTGATGTATTACAGGACGCTGCTGCTGAAGATTCGGTTTCAGGTGGTAGTAGTACTGCATGCTTGGAAGGATTATTGAAGAAGCTTATAGAGAATTACACTAATCTCAAGTCTGTGAGTCCTGAACTTGTGGAGACCAAGCCAGGTGATGCAACCCTTGATGAAGCTCAAAGCAGAGACACACTGAATACCGAGGAGGATGTAGCTTCTTTAAAGAAAGAGATGGAGGCAATGCTGCATGAATTGATGCAAGTGAAGGAAGAAAGAGATGAAATCTTTGGAAAGCATCAATCTTTGCTTCTTGAAGTTCAAGCAGTTGAAACAAAAAGGCAGGAATTGCAAGAGCTCCTTAACCAAGAAGAGCAGAAGTCAGCTTCTCTTAGAGAAAAATTAAATGTTGCCGTTAGAAAAGGGAAATCTTTGGTGCAGCAGCGGGATAGTCTGAAAAAAACCATTGAAGAGATGAATGTCGAGCTGGAACGCATGAAATCTGAGCTCAGCCACCGGGAAAATGCTCTGGCTGATTATGAATTGAAGATGAGGGACTTCTCTGTTTACCCTGAAAGAATAAAAGTCTTAGAAGCAGATAGTTTGTACCTGAGGAATCAACTGTCAGAAACTGAGCATATGTTGGAGGAGAAAGGGCATATTTTGAGCAGGATATCAAATGCAATAGCTGACATTGATGGTGGTGGTGAAATTAATATCTTTGATCCAGTAGAGAAGTTGGGACGAATTGAGAAAATCTGCCATGATTTGCGTGCAGCTGCAGCTTCTTCCGAACAAGAGTCACGGAAGTCAAAGAGAGCTGCTGAGCTACTGCTTGCGGAGTTGAATGAAGTGCAAGAGAGAAACGACACTCTTCAGGAAGATGTAGCAAATCTTTCCAGTGAACTTACGGAAGTCATTAAAGAAAAGGAAGTCGCAGAGGCTGCAAAAGTTGAAATTCTTTCACGTCTTGAAAAGTTATCTACAAATCACTCTGAAGAAAGAAGGAAACAATATTCTGAATTAATGATGTTTCAATCTAGTATAAAAGCTCTGAGTAAGGGTGTCAATGATATTCATAACCTATTGTCTAATGTTTTCTCAAAGGACTTGGAATTTCTGCAAAATTTGGATGATAACATTAAATTATGCGTCGAAGGGGGTGATTCCCAAGATGTGTCTGGCTTTCCGTACAGTACACGGAGTAATTTACAGGACAAGGTAACATATGACCTGTCTTTCCTTTGTGCATTCAGTTTGTGCATTCAGTTTGGGGTAATTTGTAATTTACAGGACAAGGTAACACATGACCTTTTGTATTTTCCTTCTTTAACCAATTGTTGGTTGTACTTCCCGTACTGCTACCATTTTTTCTCCTCGAGTTACATGCAAGCAAACTATATTGGACAAAAATTCTTTTGATTGGCCAAAAAAACAATCACATTTGTTGTCTCTTTGGGGTATTTCATGAATAGGTTGTTAATTTTATTTTATTTCTTGGTTTCCTCTTCAGGAAAACATTCAATTTGTGGATACTTGGCCAGCTGTCAATATTCAGGACCCTTTGGATGACAATGCAATAGTTGAAGTTTGTGGTTTAATCTGGCATCACCTGCAAGATTTGAGAACTGAAATTACTGCACTGAAAGAGAAGTTGATTGTGCAGTCAAAATCATTACAAGAAAAAGGTCATGGGATATGGAATGTACTGGGGATCTTGTATAGAGAACGAAATTCTATGACAGAATCATTTGAAGCTATGAAGAGAAACATTATGCATATAGAATCAGTTGGGAAAGAGAAAGACCTGGAGATTGTTGTGCTGAGAAGAAACATTGCCTTGTTTTATGAAGCATGTTCTAATTCTGTCTTGGAGATTGAAAATCAAAATGCCGAGCTGTTAGGAAAGAATTTGGCTGCTGCAGATATGGTGACTAACACGAAGCCTGTAATATCAGCTGGAGTACTTTCTTTCAGTGGACAAGATAGTGTTGCCTCTGAAGAAAATATCAAGACTATGGCAGATAAGCTTTTTTCAACAGTGAAAGATTTTTTGAATATGAAAGCGGAAATTACTGAAGGAAGCCAAAGGGAAATGAAAATAATCATAGCAAATTTGCAGAAAGAGCTTCAGGAGAAGGATATCCAGAAAGATAGGATGTGCATGGAGCTTGTTGATCAAATCAAGTTAGCTGAAGCGTCTGCCGCTAATTACTCACGAAATCTTCAATCCTCAAAAACCCTGGTGTATGATTTGGAGAAAGAACTGGAACTAACGAGGGAAGAACAAACTTCACTGCAGCAGAGAGTAAAAGAATTGCAGGATGTGCAAGCCAACACAGTGGAATTGCAGAATAGAGTCAAATCACTGACAGATGTATCATCATCGAAAGACCAAGGCATGTTTTATTGTTTGAATGCTACTTTCTATTTTCCTTGCATATTCATTTTGTTTTGGAATCTTCATTTGTGAATGCTCCACTGACAGAAATTGAAGCCCTTATGCAAGCACTTGATGAGGAGGAGGTCCAAATGGAAGAGTTGATGAAGAAGATTGAGGAACTGGAAAAAGTACTGCAACAGAAGAACACAGATTTACAGAACCTTGAAGCTTCTCGTGGAAAGGCTGTGAAAAAGCTTTCCATCACAGTGAGCAAGTTTGATGAGCTTCGTGCTCTATCAGAATGTCTTATTACCCAGGTTGAACAGCTGCAATCACAACTACAAGATCGGGATTATGAGATTTCCTTCTTAAGACAAGAGGTCACAAGATGCACCAATGATGTTCTTGCCGCATCACAAATAGGCAATAAAAAAAACTCAGATGATATATAAATGAGTTTCTGATTTGGTTTGAATCAATTGTTCCTCGGGTTGGTCTACCTGATCCTCATTTTGATACAAAGAATAGTCAGGTGCCTAAATACAAGGAAATAATACATAAGAGGATTAGCTCAATGATATCTGAACTGGAGGACCTTCGGGGGTTTGCTAAAAATAGGGATGAGTTGTTGCAAGCGGGAAAGGAGTAAAGTGGATGAGTTGACACGCAAAGAAGAAACTCTCAAGAAGACTTTGCATGAGAAGGAATCCCAGTTAAATTTGCTTGCAGGTACGGGAGATGTGGGTCAGGCAGCTAGTTTGAACTCTGAAATCTTGGAGGTTGAACCTGTGGTAAGTTATTTGGTGAGTTTGCAATTTTCTTGAACAGCACGCTATTAGGATCTTTAAAAAAGCTAGTGATGGAAAAAACTGGGATGCGAGCAATGAAATCTATTTTCTATCTCACGGTTTGCTGTTTCTCTATTTTCTTATCAACATCTCACATTTTACTCTGGGAGGTAGACATCTTGACTGGTTTCATGAAACAATCATAGATGCAATGATTTCAAGCTATAGAATAAAAATTCATCCGGCAAATATATCAGAATTTGATAATTTTGCTTCTAAAGAAGTCTGTTACTTTAACAAATAATAATGAATTTTATAAGTTGATATATACTTTAATCTTTCCAGTTCACATTAATCAGTTATGCTTTTGCATAATCAATAGCAGAATAAATATGTTTATATGTATTGAGTCGTTAATTTTGCTGACTATCTGCGTAGATAAACAAGAGGGCAATAGCAGGGACCTCTGCAGCATCCCAAGTTCGTAGTTTGCGTAAAGTCAATACTGATCAAGTTTCTATTCCTATAGACACGGATGATGGTGATAATAATAGGTTAGAAGACGAAGACGAAGATAAAGGTATCCTTTACTATTTAAATTTGTATATCATTTATACTTATTTCTGCTTCAAGTGAAGATAACTTTTGATTAAATGCTTATGTCTTTTAATCCTTGCTTTTTAATTTTTGTTTCCTCAGTTCATGGTTTCAAATCACTTACCACATCAAGGGTTGTTCCAAGGTTTACAAGACCAATAACCGATAAGATAGATGGCTTATGGTAGGAGTCATTTCTTCTTTTCAGTTTGTTTTCATCTAAAGTAGTGCAAAGTTCATTTGGACTGGGATTTATTTATTTATTTACACTCCAAAAGAAGCTTTTCATCAACTATGTTTATGTAATGTGTCAGGGTTTCTTGTGATCGGGCGCTCATGCGACAACCGCTCTTACGGCTTGGCATTATGATCTATTGGGCTGTATTGCATACATTGTTGGCAGCTTTTGTATTTTGACAAGTCAATGTGGTTAGTGGCCCTTTACCAATATGTAGTTATTTCATGTAGTTGTATGATTGTGCTTTGTGGACAAGTTTAAATCCACGGTTTTCACTATCTGAATGTTATATACCTGTAAATCCTGTATGGAACTTGCGTTATTCTCATTCATCTTGTTTATCGATTTTCTGTCCTGTTTCTTACTACAAGACCATGCTTCTAATACTTGAGTTTATGGCCTTGCTTTTGTGCAGGTTACTATTTGATTTTGTGAAAAAAGTTTAGCAAGGAGAGCCAAACATTGTTTTTGCCTTGAAATGCATACTTGGCTCCAATATCAATTTTCCCGAACTTCTGAACATGATCCATTGATTCATTTTAGCTCAACCAGGCAACTGTGATTTAGCAGTTTTTATTTGCATGCACTTCTCAGGTAGCTTGGTTATGTCCAATAAGGAAAAGAAAAATTCTTGTTACAATTATTTTGGACATAGTATGAGGATTATTCAGTTTAAACCAGCCGAAGGTTGTATGATGCTTACTGTAGTTAAGTGATGTACAACACAAACAGAAATGCTGCAATTTTTAAGTAGTTCTTTCTATGTATATAGTTGGCATATGTTATCACTTGCAATTTGTTCCCATTAACCTTTATTAACAGATGGGCTCCAGTACATTCGGCTCTCACTTCTCAATCTATTAAGAAGACAAACTAGCAACGTTAACCAAGGCATTACAGGTATAGAGAGAGTAAATACATACACCTTTTGGAACCAGAATGTTACCAATTCGAGTCTCTTTCCAGTGCATACTCACGATGCTGCCGTGGGTAGAGCCGCATGATTTTTTGAATCTCCTAAGCACCTGCATATTAGAAACCACAATTTTACACCTTATAAGAGCTTGAGTCACCTCCTCTTATACGATCATATATAATATATATATATATATATATAAATATAAAGTGTTAGGTAGAGGTGAATATTAGATTGAATCAAGTTAAAAAAAAGTTTTAAATAAGTTGAACTGATGAGTCTTATTTTGTAATTCAAATTGTATTTAAAATTTTTCAAGTTGAATTGAATCTATGAAATTTGAGTCGAGTAAATTGTACGATTTAGCAAGGCCATATGTGATATCACATATGAAATTTATGTGATACATATAATATATGTATATAATTTTTCACATGTGATACATATAAATCTTACAGAGTTAGATACTAGACTCGAACTTAAAAATCATAAACTATTAATACAATCGCATCTCGATTCGAATGGGTTCTCAAATTCCATTACTCAATCAGTAAGTGCTTTGTTCAAACACCTAGAAACCTCATAGTAAAATTGACCCAATACCATAGGCAAGCTAATTATTTAGCCCAATACTACACAGAGCAAATTATTTAGGGATTTGTAACATTTACTATAATGACTTTAAATTCGTCATGTCGACATAACGAGTTTTAATAAAATATATTTTTTATTCAAAATTTTCATTCCGATGTGATAAATTTTAATAAATATATATATTTTATTAAAATTCGTAATATCACGTGACAAATTCAAATAATAAGCTAATAGACTAATTTTTTTATCTGCATGGCCTATTGGTCAATTTTACCAAAATCCCACCGCAATGGATCCAAATGATATTTTTCTTAGATGGGCTTTCCACTGAATCTGAAGCGGGCCAGCCTTGGAAGTACGCATTTTTCTTAATCCTAATTCTCTCTGAAGCTGATTAACTTTGCCGTTTCATAAAGCAGTTCTCTATCCTCCCTACAAAAAAGCCCTAATCTCCCTCGACGACTACCGCTGTTTCCCCCTCTGCGCACTCACCAGGTTCCGACTTCACATCTTTCTTTCTATTTTCTAAATTTAATAAATAGAGAGTATCTGCAAAACAATCTCTTTGTTTCTTTGTTGGTTCTTAAAACTTGAATAACGTTGAAAATGTTTTATAGCTTTCTTTTGAATCCCCCTTAAAAGCAATGTCTCGCGTGTACGTGGGTAACCTTGACCCACGGGTTTCGGAACGGGATCTTGAAGACGAGTTTCGTGTCTTTGGGGTTATTCGAAGGTATAATGTTTTGCAACTTACCTTTTTTTAAATATTTTTGAACTGCTATGTTATTACGCGATACTTCTCTACCTTTGGGTATGAATTAATTGTCCTAGTTCTTTCTATTGTTTTCTTTTGATTTGCTAAGGGTTTTTTTTTTTACAGTGTATGGGTTGCTCGAAGGCCACCTGGTTATGCTTTCATTGAATTTGATGATCACCGGGACGCTGAAGACGCAATTCGTGAATTAGATGGTATTCCAATTTCCAACCACATCCTCATAGTTTTGATAATGATTTCTAATTGAAACTGAAATATGCCAAATTTGACTCTTTTGTTAAAATAAATAAACGACTTTCTTAGGAGCTAGCACATAGTTATCAAGCTTCTATTCTTTATTTATATACATGAATTTGGATTTATTATGAAAATCTTGATTTTGGTATTCCTTTTTTCGTTTACTACTTTTGCATATGAGCTTTATGAAGAATGTGCTTTTCTAATGCTTACAGCTGCTTGTATACCTTGGCAGAGGAAATTCGTGTACACTGTTTTGATCACAACCGTGCTTCAAATTATAGCCGTAATTTTTAATATTGTGGTTCATATGATGGGTCCCTCCTAAATTATACTTGCTAGTTGATTTTGTCATCTTCGTCTTTTTTGTTCCATTTTTTTCATACTTTACTGTTTAGTTTTAAGCATTTTTTTTTATAAAATGTTTAGTTTTATGCATTAATTTGAGAAAACGTGAACTTGGTGGCATAGTCATGCTCTCTGCATTTTTCAACCATCTAAACAGGAAGCTTCTATTTTCCCTCTCTTAACGGCATCTTAAATGAACTTAGCTAATCATTTGAGATAAACTTTCTTAACCAACTTTAAAAGTCAAATGTGTTTGGAATTCGAATCAGGTAAGAATGGCTGGAGAGTTGAGCTTTCTCATAATTCTAGAGGAAAAGGTGGACGAGGAGGTGGAGGTGGCCCGGGACGCTCTGGTGGTTCTGATTTGAAGTGCTATGAGTGTGGTGAGCCTGGTCATTTTGCTCGTGAATGTCGCACGCGTGGTGGTTCAGGAAGACGTCGTAGCCGCAGCCCTAGATATCGTAGGAGCCCAAACTATGGACGCAGGTAAGCCCCCCTAAGCAAACATTGATTGCTATTGTGTTGATTGATTGATACTTACTAATTTGGAACAGAAGTTACAGTCCTCGTGGCCAATCTCCAAGACGTCGTAGTCCCTCTCCTCATGGACGTGGCTACAGCAAGTCTCCACCATATCGTGGTCGTGAGGAATTGCCATATGCTAATGGGTAATTTTCCTTGAACTTTTTGCTAGTAGCTGGAAAGGCTTTCTTATTGCAATATTTTTCACTTATAAATAAAGTTCCAGTTTTTTTCATGCTCAAAGCCATGCCCATCTCTGTTTAATTTTGTGGTTTTGGATTATGGATTTATGGTAAATGTTTATATATTAATACCGAATTTGGTGCAGAAATGGTGGGGGAACGCCGAAGGAGTAGAAGCTAAGTAGCTCAAGGATGTAACTTTTGTTGAAGAGAGTGGGCTTAAGTTTGTTTAGTTTGTTTGGACATCAATGCTATTATTTTTAATTGAGCGACGCCCTCAGCCTCTTGGATTTGGATAAGTTCCTTTCTGTCATTCTTTTGTTTTATGATGCTTTTGTCTGCTTTATCTATTCTAAAACGTAGTCTATTTTATGCCAAGGAAAAAGAGGTTTAAGCTTACCTTTAAAAAGTTATTGAGAGATCATTCCCAGAACTCTGCTAAAATATTCATGCTTTTTTTTTTGAGGTGTCTTCTGGTTCTGCCTCTTTACTTTTCTGCTTCTACACCTAAAGGATTAACTTCTTTGCTGCCCGGATATGAGATCTTCAATACTTGATCACTGTGGGTCAATTTGATATCTTCTGGGTCTGCCTCATTACTTTTCTGCTTCCTCACCTAAGGGATTTACTTCTCTGTTGCCTGGCTATGGGATATTCAGTACATGATCTTTGTTGCCTCTGTTTGAATGAATCTTCTGCTTGATGAACCTTCCTCCATCACTAGTGGCATTTCTTTACTTTAGCTTAAATGGGTGTAGAGCTGCCTCAAATGCTTCTGGCAGGTACCTATATCTGTTCTACTGAAGTTGATGTTTTAGCGTCCTTGCATGAGGGATTGGTAATCTATAGATCTAATTTCCTTTCATACTTCTAAAATTTGAAAGATTTTGGAAGATGCAAGGTGTTTACTTACTATATTTCAATACGTTTTTGTCATTGAGCTTGACAAGCAAAAATGAATTGAAGTCTTCTACATGTTTGGTCAGAAAGTTTGGATGCTGAACTTGATTTTGTTTTCCACTTTTCTAGCATCTTTATCTATATCCAGGCGATTATTCGTGAGTCTGTTTACTGTCCCTTTTTTTTTTCATTTTCTTGGAGGGTCGGGGTTTCCATATGGTGTACTTAAATGGGGGATTCTCTGTGATTGTTGGATTTTAGCTGCACAACCTGATGAGCCTGAAATATCCTCGCAAGTGAAATCATGATTTTCCCACCCGACTATATACTGTGTTGCCTATGGCATCATTGCTTAATGTTTGTTCAGTATATTGATTAATTTTGAAGGGTAGAAGTCAGCCACTAATTCATAATTTAGTTTTTTATTATTCCGGTTTTTATTTTATTGTATTAAATGTTGCAAATTATCACTTCTAAAGTTTTATCATACGTTGTAGGAACGATGATCGTGATGGTTAGGGTTAAGAGTCAGCATTTTATATTTAATCGCCATTGTATTCTTCATTCGTTCATGAAATGTCGAGTGATTTTTATGTAGAACAGAACGATGAACGTGTCAGTTATGCATCGGCATTCTATAACGGGCTGCAGTGCAATTGGATGGTGTTCTTTTATCTGTTGAATGCCGAATCAAACTTGAGATTCTTCCCGTGATTTCTATGGTTAAGAAAAGACCCAACTATTTGGTGAACTTGGAGCCCAGAATCAACTCATATCATGGCCCCAGCTGTGTGTACCTTCTGATGAGATTGTGACACCACGAAGTCACCCACCCCCAATAGGTTTGTTTCATCTCCTTTGCTTACCGACACTGGAAAAAATATGACAAACTATACCCATTAATCACTAATCTATATTGACACGAAAATCTATTTAGAGGTTTGGAGTTATAGTTTTTATCATCTTCAATGATTGTTGGATGAGGCTAACTTCAAAGTATATTGTTTGTACTTGAAAAAGAACATTTATCACCGCTTGAATTTTCTAATAGACATCTTAAATCTCAGAAAATTGATTTGATTTGTGCACGTATGATTTGTTGAGGTTTAAAGTGGTTTTGAAAAAAATTTAAATTGATAAAGTGATTGATTGTAATAAAATGAGTTCGTCGGTGTTTAAGGTAGATGTTAAAAAAAACAAAATGAAGGTAATTTTTTAGTGACGAAGTGATCAAATCGATACATAGATTTTAATAAGTGACAGATTAGGTAGTACCAAAAAATTATTAACCTAGAGGCCAGCACAGAGGAAGAAGAATATGGAGTAGTTTATTCGGTATGTATTAGACGTGGCACAGTGTACACGATGGATATGTTTTGCATGTATTATCGTAAATATGGAAGCAGAAAGTCATGACGCAAGTTCATTCGTTTGCCTTATTCGAGCTTTCCAGCTTTACAAATACAATACGAATTGAATCTTTAGAGCCAAACATACTGAAGCAAGAATCAGGGTGACGTACCAATCATACCTATGACAAAGCTCCAACACCTAAGGAAGAATAAATGGACACTATCCAATGTAAGAATAAAACATAAAATGGAAACGAAAACGAAAACGGCTACACAACTATATCGCGCATCTCAATGAGAATGTAGAAAATGAAATTTTTGGGTACTGAAAACTGGATGCCACGCAGCCTTAGCTCATCTGCTCTCCTATTAAATCTAGACCGACTAGGAGAAATGTTAACCCCTGGAAGAGCAGGAAATAGAAATGTACTCCTTGTGCCGCTAACAAGCTACGAACTGAGGCTGTGAGTAGGAGGAATGCCAGTGTGAGTTCTTTCCTGTATATCTTATTCACCCTCTTAACTCGCACAGGATCCACCTTTAATTGGTTTAATTCAGTGAGCTCGCTTTCAGAAGCTCCGCTCTCAATTTGTAGCTGGTTTGGTGTCTTTGATTCCCTCTCGGCAGCAGCCAATAAGTCGGATTCTGATGACCTGCCGGCCTTCTTGGTGACAACCCACTCGTAGGAGCTGCCCAACTTGAATAATCCAGACACCATTGCATTGAATTTGGTCACAGACATGGTGTTCTCAAATAGAAGGTAAGGAACAATGAAAGGGAACGATTTCGGGGCTGGAAGAATGTTGAGGAAAGACATGAAAACAGGTACATAACAAATGACCCAAACAGGAAGCTCGGCTTCGGGTACAAACATGGTTAGAGGAAGAATTATGCAAAACAATGTGAAGGAGTAGAAGGGAAGGATAAGCTTCCTCAATAAAAAGAATAGGAGTATTAAATTTGCTTTCTTCCATACAGCTATCTGCAGAATTACAGTATTAAAGGTACTTCAGTATACTGAAAATAAAACCATAGCTGCCAAAGATCGGAAGTTGTAACATTCTACCTTGGAAGTTATGATTGCCGGTAGGCATAAGCGGAAGAGGTGCATTGGTCCTGAATGCCATCGATGTTGCTGCTTCCTGTATGCTTCATAAGACTCTGGAACTTCACAGAGGACCTAAAGTTTATACTCAGTAAGTGGCTATTCTCAGGACATTCTTGATTCCAATAAACAGACTGACCAGGTTAACCAATGCAACATATATTTTAAATGAAGTCTGTATCGTAACATATAGTTTATACAGTGTATGTAGCTTACTCTTGAATCTTGATCGACATTAATTCAGTAATCAGTTTTGCCAGATTGGTAAATGTATAACATGCAACGGTGTAGAACAGAAAAAATAAAAATGGTGGAAAATGAGGATACCTTGACATCATTTAGGAAGATGAACTTCCAACCATTGAGATGAGCACGAACGGCTATGTCCATGTCCTCTACAGTAGTCCTTTCAAGCCAGCCTCCAGACTCCTCAAGAGCTTTAATTCTCCAAACACCAGCAGTTCCATTAAAACCAAAGAACTTTAAAAATACTCCATTTACTTGCTGCTCAACTTCAAAGTGGAAACATAAATTAATGTTCTGAAGACGAGTCAACAAGTTCTCATCTTTGTTCACAAAACCCCATCTAGCCTGAACTAATCCTAACTCGGGGTTGTCCTGCAAGACAAGGGAAATATACAACATAAAAAGACTGATAATCAGATTGTAGGCAAGGGACCTAAACAATAATGATTCTGGTTTCTCTTCACCTTGAAATGTGGAACTGTTTTCTTTAGAAAATCAGGGTTAGGTTGGAAATCTGCATCAAATATTGCTACAAACTCATAGGCCTTCACGTACTCGCAGCTCATCGCAGACTTCAGATTCCCAGCCTTGTAACCGGTTCTTACTAACCGATGTCGATAAATTATGTTGACACCTCTTTGGTTCCATGTAGCAACCTCAGCTTTAATTAAACACCGAATGCTTTCATCATCAGAATCATCGAGAACCTGAATCAATAATCGGTCCTTTGGCCAATCGAGTTGGCAAACAGCAGAGATAGACTGCTCGTATACCTGGTGCAAGGTCAGTGAAGAAAGCTACCAACATCAGGAAAAAAAGAACATAAATGATAAAATTGGAACATGTTTTCTTCAGAAAAGATGAAAACAGAGGAGGGATTTCAGTTTATTACCTCCCTCTCGTTACACATTGGGATTTGAACAAGAACCATGGGGTACTGGTAACCAGATCCCTCGACATCGTCCAACTTGAATGGATCCCCCTCCATTGTGGGCTTAATCTTCTTGTATTTAATCCAAAAGCAGCCTAAGCAAAGTATCAAACGATCTGCAGATTGGATGAGGAATAGAGCAACACAAAATTTAGACAAGGCTTGAATTAAAGGTGCAATGTAATCAGCGCGGAACCACAACCAAGTAACGTAAGCCAAGTGGAACAGTCCCTGGGTATCACTAGTTCTCGGAATGTGCAAATTGGGGTTGTTAAAATATTGCCAACCATTGAAATAAGCAACAATCTCAAAAGCCAGAATCATCAAGGAAGTAACCAGAAAGGCTTTAATGATTGTGAAGAGCAGTTTCCCTTTCCCCAACTTTTCAGTCGCCATGGCAACATCTTGCCTAAAGATCAACCTTTTCTTTACGGTTCCAAGCAATGCCCAGAACAGTGTAGCGATCCAAGCGACACAACCGACAGCACGATGAGCCCTGAGAAGTAAAACCCAAGTCACTTTCTTTGCATTTTTTCCTCTGCTCTTTTCCACTGGCCTGAATGCACCATCTGGGTCCTCGATTTCCACCACCGAGTAGTTTGGGTTCTCCATTTTCACCACCACCGGTGTTCCTTTCCTCGTATCCTTCGCCCACCAGTCTGAGAAATCTAATCCAGGAGCCATTCCTTTTTGTTCACTTGAGCAAGTGACCAAAACGAAACAAAACCCAGATTTCAAATAATCAAGAACTGAACAAGACAAATCACCCAAATCAAATGTAGCTAAGTGAGATGGGGCGAAGAAAAAGGAAATCGTACGTAATTGGAATGGCCAGTCGAGAAGACAGAACAGAAGACAACTAACAATGATGAAAGGTATCCGCAGCTGTAATGTGTAATACTAATATGTAAGCTGTAAGAACCCCAAACAAACCACCACACCATGTGGGGTTTCTTTTTCGGACAAATTAGCCAACCGAGCTCAGCCGGTCCATTTTTAAGGTTCACTTGCCATACCAAGAATTTACTCCCGGTGGTTAATGTGTTTTTAGTTCATGCAGCAGAGCAGGCGAAGAATCTGCCAACTGCATTTACCAAAGAAAGACATTGAGTAAATAAGTTACCCAAATTGGACTTCACTTGCATCACGAAAAACCCACTCTCCAGTTTGACTAGAGACTAAACACTATACACTCTGTTGCAGAACAATACTAATTAATTAATAAAGAATCAAATCAGGAAGTAGCAGGGTTTAGTTTTTTGTAGTCTAATAAAAAAAGCACAAAATAAATCATGAATTATTGTGGGAGTGATATTAATCAAGCTTTTGGCATTATTTTTTCTTGGGGAAAGATAGAAAATTTTTAACCCCAAATGTCGGTTGTGCATTGAAAGATGGGGTTCTTGCCCATCTGTTTTGGCGCAACACAGTTTAATATTTGCAATAGACCCCCCCCCCACTCAATTAAATCAAACTAATAAAGTTTGTCACCTTCATCCTCGTCCATTCATCACACAAGCGAAATTATGCTATAGTAATTTACACATATGCCCATTTCTTCCTTTTCAATTCATTTCATTTCATTTCAAGCCTCGCAAATATATTTCCAACATCTGCAATTCTTACTTCGATACACATGGATATACATGTAGTTTAATTATCGTGAAAATAGCAAAATTAAACAGGTGATTATCAATGGTGTTAGCAAAGAAATTAACAAAATTATTAGTAGCTAGAGAAGACTCTGATATATTTTTTTTTTCAGCAAAAGATAATTTTAATAAAATTATTAACAATTAAAGACAATTTTATCAGCTATTAGGTATTTCTCTAAATAATTCTCGTACATCCTTATTTGTTTTTATTGTTATAACAAAAAGGAAGATGGCCACACCCTCGCAGTACCCTACTTGATATTAAAGGGACAACGCACTTCCAATTCACTTTCAAAACTAAACAAAAAAAATGTCGGCAAACGTTCATAAAGCAAGAGAATCGGTAGATTTTAAATTGGTCAAACTGAGTTATTTGGCACAATGAAACTTATGGTACGTGCATACATCACGAATGCATCTGTGTAAATTTGTACTCGGTAAATTGTGAAGTCAGCGGAAGAGAGCAGTAAGGCTAAAGCTTGAAGCCCTGGAGGTGAAAGGGACGTTTCATCCCATTGCAGATGATGAAGTTGGTCATGTCGATATCATCTCAATCTTCCATTATATAATTAATTGCTACTTGGCAAATCTTGCTCACAACCGATGATCAACATTGTTTAACTTCAACCTTCTTCTGCTACGTTTACACCTTCGTCACACTCTGGAACCTCCAAATCAGCTGACTACTCTTCCTGCCAGGATTTCCTCTTACGGTACCATTTATTCTAGTATAAAAAAAAATCGAATTAACAGTGAAACGGAAAGACTAGGAGAATTAATTGATTCTTTTGCTGGTATAAATTCAAATTGTTCCTTTGGACCTCGGTTCTCATTGTTCTAAGACATGATTGGCGAGCAGAAACCCTGCAAATAAACAAGAAAACATGACAACCATAAGTGCAAAGATATGAACTGCTGACAACACCATACCAAAAGCACAGGACAAGAATACTCATTTGCTCTACTTACTTGGCCAATAAATGCACCACTCATGGGATGCATATTTTTCACATAACCTAGGGATCTGCATGAAAACCAAAAACCGTCTACGACTCTCTCATTCCCCGGATGGTAATTTAATTTAGGTTAACTACATGGATCATCACTTATGTTTATATTTTGTCCACTTTTGATCACTGATATAAAAAAAACATAAGATATGACAACTTTCATTTTTATTCAATTAAGATATGGTCACTTTCGTTTTTATTTAATTACGATGTGGTCATCACGGGTTAAATGTGGTTAACAATTAACAGAATATGTGACGTGCTAGTTGGTATAATCACACATTTGGTCATTGTTATTTACATATTCTCTCAATATAGTCATACTTTTAAATAAATTTTAACATAAAATATATATATTTTTAAATGAAAATAAAAATAAAATATTTTAAATTAAGTTAATAATAAAATATATGTAATAAGTTAATATAAAAATATTTTTTAAGTCTATATATATAAAATGTTATGAATTTAAATATTTATACACTAAGGTACAAAATATATATACCATGTTGTCTACTTTAAACCAAGCAATGGTCTTGGCTTAATGGTTGAATACATGTTTAGTTTATTAAGTGATCAAGGTTTGAATCTTTTTTGCCCCAATTTGCTTTCCAATGTTTTCTTTCAACTAGAGAGTGACAATGTCACTCTTTGATTGGTGGAAATAAATATATTAAATTAAAATAAAATTAGTCATCCAATTGAATGGTGACACTGGCATGACATGTGGCATCATTTGATTGGAGGATTAAATTTATTTTATTTTATTAAAAGTATGAATAAATTGAGAGAATAAATAAATAACATGGTCTAAATGTGTGATTATATCAAAATATTTAACTGTTGTTAACATCAGTTAACTCGGAGTGACCATATCTTAATTAAATAAAAACGAAAGAGACCAAAAGTGAACAAAATACAAACATAAGTGATTATTCGTATAATTAACCCTTTAATTTACATTCTATGACTTATGAATTAATTTGATTCGATAAGATCAAATTTAAAAAAAAAATAGGTTCTAATCATATCGAATATTATAAAGTATGATATTGGGTTGGATCAAATTTATAATAAAAATTATTTGATCTAATTTGATCCAAGATAATAATATAATTTTTTTATATATTAAGAGATAATTATTATAATATATATCTCTATAATTTTTCTAATAAATTATTATTTTATTGAATAAAAATAATATTTACATATTTATATAGTGGTAGATCTAAAAACTTTGAAGGTGGACACATACATATATTAATAACACAATTTTTTTAAATATAAAAATACTAATAATATTTTAATTATAATACGAATTCTTACTGAAAAAAGCTAAAAATAAATTTTACAGGTGTTCCCTTCTAGGCTTCATATTGTGATATTATTATATTATCTTTTTTATTGTCTACATTATCAAATATATTTTTCTCAATAAAAGTAATTAAGCAATCATTAAGCCCTTCATCTCCTATACGATTACACGGTCGATTATTTATAAAGTGTATAATAGAGAATGTTCTTTCCATTGTTGAGGTTACAACCGATAAAACCAATGATAACTTTAAAAGTAAATATACACGTGGGTACAATAATATTTTTTCTAGTTACAATCGAATCTCAAATTAATTTTTCAAAAATATATATAGAATTGCATATATCTAATTTTAAAAATCACGGGCATTACTGTAAAAAAGCTCGAAGATCCTTCATCTGATCGAGATGATCTCGGGTATCCTTGCCCACTCGCCGTTGTCGTGTTTTTTACTGTACAGATTCACGGCTAGAGGTGTTGTTCACAGAAAAATCTAAAAAAAAGAAGGTTTGACCTTTCAATCCTTTGCTCATTTCCTTCAAATTTATCATTTTTCTTAGTTTCTAATGCTAATGTTAATTCCTTTTATTTTTGTAAATTTTTTGTCTCCAAAATTCAAACCATCGACTTTAGTTCAATAATTTTCTGTAAGATGTTTTTGTCGTGGGTGAGTTGGTGATTGAGTTCCAATTGAACAGTGAAAATGAGAGATGAGCATAGGTCTGGGTGGATTGGGGGTGACTTTACCCGATTTGGAATATATTTTTTCAAATTAATCTAGTTGGAAATAAACTTTTCGGGTAACTCGGTAGAAAAAATATATTGGGTTTGGGATGTAAAGAGGATTTGTGTCTCCACAATCTAGATTTTAAGTTTTAATTTTATGCGGGTACGGTGAATGAATTTTGAACCTGAAAAAAATAGTTTATAATAATATTTGGTGGTCTTAAAATAATTCAGGGTGAACACAAAATAATTCAGGTAAGCATAAATTAATTTTAGGGTGTGTACATATTTAAAAATATATATCTAATGAATTAAATTTAAAATTCAAGATGGACATATATATATATATACAGCGACTCATATATGCATCTGCTACTGTATTTATATGAAGTGAGGTCAAATTAAATAAGAAATTTATCTTAAAATTTAAATAACATTTAGAATCATATGAGGTCCTTAAATTAAATCAAATTCGAATAAAGGAAATATACTTTGAAATTAAATTAGATTGACCAAAAACTTAACGTCAACTCGTCTCTAGTTGTCGTTTATACCTTTTCCCTCCTCAACACGGCGTATTATATTCATGACAAAACGATCAGCCTCCGTAAATATTCATGGACAAAGTGTGGGCTTCATTCAGCTGATGACAAATAGAAGCAACCCAAAGAAATATATATGTGGGTCTACTTAAGATGGGTCGCAATACTGAACTGAACTTTGGTAAGAGGAAAGTGTGGGATGATTTCTTCTGCACTACGTAATTACATGTATTAGCATTAAGCTATCTTGGTTTGAGGCATTGACCAAAATGTTGTTTTTATTCGATTTTTAATATATAAGGTAGGACACCAACAACCAGTTGGTCTAGTGGGATGAGATACTATGTCCTTTAAGCAAGGTTAAGGGTTAGAATCCTGACGTTTGCGAATGGAGCAAACTGGGTCGGTAGAGTCGCTCTCGCCTTTGCAGTACCCGATCTGGATTAGTCAATTAATAGATCGGATATCAGTCATTAATTAAAATATATATATATATAAAGTAGGACAATTAAAATATTTAATGTAACCGACCCACTATCACATGTCAAGTGCCCACATGGTTACCACCTGTCTAATACTAAAATTAGTACCCTTCGTGTACAATGAAATGGGACATGAATATTATATGCTCCCTTCATTCTAATGAGAATTTCCAAACTTTGTAGTTTTATAGAGAGAATATTATACGCTTAACCTGTACTCTCTATACTATGATCTAGATTCTGTTTGATAGGAAGATAAAAAAAATATTAATCATGTAATTAATATTTATGACCATTTTTATATTTTGAAGTTTAATTATTATATTAAAAAATTATTGTCTCGTTTTTTCATCCTATATGCACTACAACAAAAGTGCTCAATATTTTGAAATATAGCGGTGTTTTTAAAAATGCTGCAATAGAGTGGTAATTTAGCGGCTTTAATGGCACAAACGCCGGTATAGAGTTATTTTTAGTGGCGTTTTATAAAAAAATGCCGCAAAAGATTAGCCATTTATGGGCGTTTTTATACAAACGCCGCTATTGAGTATTAATAGAGCGGCGTGTTTTGATAAACGCCGCAATATGGTTATTTTTAGTAGCATTTTATGTACAAACGCTGCAATATAGTGGACATATAGTGTTGTTTTAACAACAAACGCCGCAATAGAGAAGAAAGTTTGCGGCGTTTTCCCTAAAACGATGCAATATAACGGTAATGTAGCGATGTTTATACCTCAAACGCCGCAATAATTAATACTTTCGCGTCATTTTTAGACAAACGTCACAATAGTGTTAATCAATAATGGCATTTTTTTATAAACACCGCAAAATGTTAAATATACGGTCCTTATTTTTCTCCTACCTAAACCCTAAAATCATTTCAACTCTTCTTCTCTCAAACATTCTTCTCTGGTACAACAACAAGCTGAGCACGATTCCAAGCGACGTTGTCTTTTGAATGTCCTGGCGACCAAATCGACTATCTGATCGACGAACTATAACACAATTGCAAGGTTTAATCCCTCTTATTATTAATGATATTTTTCATTTTTGTTTTTGTGGGTATTCTGAAAATGGGGAAACCCTTAAAGCTAACGTATTGGAGAAAAAAAGGAGCAGGTGTTGCCTTGAGTAAGAGAAATTATCATAGGAATATCTACGTGGCGTCTTTGCTCTGACGATGGATCAAATTATCGGTGGGAGGCTATCGGTCCGGTCTCACCGTCGAAACTCGATGATGACCCGAAAGGAAATTCTATTGCTCCATACCCTTCCATGGCTGATCTCCTACTTGAAGGTAATAATCTATAAATCTTTAAGCCGCTATATACTATTTTTCTATGGTCACTAAAATTTCATAAATCGTACGCATGTAGGATCTTCGAAGCTTATTGAGAACGATGATAGGAGTGATTCACTGTTTCCCAACACACCTTCAATCAAGTTGATTCATATCAATGTTTCAGGGTGGAAGTTCGTTATCTGTTTCAAGTGAAGCACTGAAGCGCGCAAGAGTCTTCTTGGTGAACCGGAGGTAGGGGATTTATTTGGTGAAACAATTTCTCCATAGAGTTTACAGGAAAAACTTAACGATGCGACGTCAAACAAGGAAAACAACTTTCCTACGTCCTTTCCCCACGAAGGAGCAGAACTAAATATATTATAGTGAACAATATGATGAAGACTGTTTATGCATAACTTTAATGTTTCTAAATTTTAATGTATTTTGTTGTTAAGTATATTTATGCATAATTTATGGCTTAATTGAAATATATGGATGTTGGTAATTAGGTTAAACTACAAGATAGTAAATTTATGTTATGTAGAGCATAAATTAAATATTTAAAAAATATTAATCTTATATAAATCAATATATTTAGCAGCGTTTGTATCAAGAAACGCCGCTATAGGTTCATCTATAGTTCGTATATAGCGGCGTTTTTTAATAAACATCGTAATAGAATAATACTTTCGCGGCATTTTTTGTAAAAAGCGCTGCAATAGGGTTCACATAAAGCATCATTTTGGTAACAAACGTCGTAAATAATTCGTAATTTAGTGTCATTTTGTCAAAAAACGCATTAAATGTTTTTTATTTAAACGCCATTAACTTTAGACATATAGCGGCGTGTTTTAATAAACGCCGCAATATATTAGTACTACAACGGCGTTTTGACAAAAATGGCGCAAGAGGGTTAACATATAGCGATGTTTTGGTAACAAATGGCACAAATAATTCGTACTTTAGTGGCGTTTTGTCAAAAAATGCCGCAAATGTTTTGTATTTGAACGCCATTAACTTTAGACATATAACGGCGTTTTTTAATAAACGCCGCAACAGATTAGTACTACAGTGGCGTTTTGACAAAAACGCCACAAGAGGGTTAACATATAGCGACATATTGGTAACAAACGCCGCAAATTATTAAAATCATTAGTGGTGTTTTGACAAAAAAATGTCGCAGATGTTTTTTTATTTAAACATCATAAATTTAGACATATAGGGGCGTTTTTTAATAAACGCCGCAATAAATTAGTACTTTAGCAGCGTTTTGACAAAAATGCCGCAATATGGTTCACGTATAGCGGCGTTTTAGTAACAAACGACGTAATATGGTTCACATATAGCTGTGTTTTAGTAACAAACGTCGTAAATTATTCGTACATTAGTGGTGTTTTGGCAAAAAACGCCGCAGATTTTTTAACATTAGTTGCGTTTATAATTAGAAACGCTGCAATTGGTTACCCTTCAGTGGCGTTTGTATTGTTAAACGCCGTAATGTCCGTTTTAATTCAACATTCGCCCTAGCCATTTTTCCATCACGATTTTCCTTTCCCTCCCGCCAATTACAGTATCCATAGATTAATTCACTGCTCTCCTTCACTGCGCCTAGCATCCTTCTCCTCCAACGTCGTCGCTTCCAACAATCTTCGGTCGACAACTAAAATCCCAAATCCAAACTCGTCATTTTCATTGAAAAAATTGATGGTTATCTAAGCTGAACGTTAACATGATGGCTGAAATATGATAGTCGTTTGAGATTTTAGGATTATATTTTATCATATCACAATCAATAGGTTAACATTCAATTGAGAATACCGTCAATTTTTTGACAGAAAAGAACGAGATTAAAATAAAATGAATAGTCGGGTGACCATTTTGTAACTTTTAATAGTCGAGAGACTTAATAAAGTAACCCTCTATAATCAGAAGATCATTTTATAACTTTTAATAGTCATAAAACTTAATAAAACATTACCCTATAATCGGTGATCATTTGGGTACTTAACCCTAACTTTTAATCCAAAAAAAAACAACGGTAACTGAAACGGTGCCGTTTGGAGACCACCGCTCCAATATGTCAACTGCTAATCAAGAAATAAATAAAGAAAATATAATATATAAAAAATTGAAATTGTTGAAATTCTAACCTCACCCCAAATTAGACCAAAATCAAAACGGTGTCTCTCTTCTTCTTCTTCTCTCTTCAACGACCAAACCCTAAGACACCTCTTTTGTTTCTCTTTAATTCTCTTGGCGATGATTTAGCTTGAGGTTTCTCTTCAGACCCGATCCACCTCTGGTGAGTTCCCCTTTTTTTTTTTACACATCTGATATTTGCGACTTGATTGTATGAGTTTTAGAACGAAAAGAGAGTTTTTCAATTTCTAAAATGCGATTCCTGGAATTCACTTATCGTGTTTGAGTTATCGGTGATACCAGACCTTAGAAACTAAAAGTGCCTTTTATATCTCTCAAGTTCTACTTTTGTTGTTCCATGTAGGCACAGTGATGTTAAAGTAGCAGCAAAATGCGGAAAAGGTTTTTCCGCTGCTGAAGATGACATGTCAGATGTGTATCCCTTGCAGTTAAGACTTATTATTCCACGGGAAACGAATTCATTGGGAGTAAAAATTAGCAAAAAAGGTAAGTTCATCTAATCAACCAATTATTCCTCTTTTGGTCTTAGAAAGTGCATCATACTAGTCTGGCAATATATATTATAATGTCTAATTTGCCAGAATAGAAAGCCTTTGACATTCCCACATTCTCTTGTGTATTTATTTTCTAATTATTAACATTTCTAACAATTAATATGATTATTTTAAAATCGAAAAAGAGCGTGGTAGCTTATAGGAAAGGTGCATGTTCATGTATCATTCTGAAAGGCTTTACATAAAAGCATAGTTCCAGAAGTAATTAGTCATATTGAACCATTGTTATTTTTATCATCTATCCATTACCTGGATTACATGCGGAATTCTGATTTGAGTCCTTTGTTGTTGTCAAATGACTCAGTGATTGACATATGAATGAACTGCATGTAGATGGAATGCACAATTCATAAGAATTTGCTTACGTCTTAGGACTTTAAATGTTGTCACAATTAAAGCAATAATATAATCATGATATGGTTTGTAGATTTCTCCCCTGTACTGCACTCACATGATGCGTCGCTTATTAATTTCTTAATTGGTTCAATTTCTCAAGATTTTGTATTTCTGAACCGCATGCCTTGATTCTTTGTGCTTACATTAAGTTTCACTCTTTACAAGACAATACAACAGAACTTTTCAGAAGAGCTTGCAAAATCTTTAGTATAGATTCTGAGCAGGTAACTTTTCATATCATTACTGAAGTTTTTTATATGTACTGTTTTGTGTATAGGTTCTTGGGCAAGTTTAAGTCTTATTGTCGTAATAAGCGTTATCCAGAAAGATCAATTGCTGAAGGGTATTTGGCAGATGAATGTATGACATTTTGCTCTAGATATTTGGAAGATGTTGAAACAAGATGGAATAGACCAAATCGAAATGATGTGTTAAGTACGGATGACTTACCTCAACATTATTTGTTTGGAAGATATGGTCAACCATTAGGGAAAGTTGAAATTGCACACTTAGATGACACGTCTTGGGTTCAAGCACACCGATATGTTTTTTTCCATCATGATTCAATAGATCCCTTTCGCACGTAAGCCTTTCAGACCCAAGCTATATGAAATCTCTTAATATTTTATATATATATCAATTTTTAACTACATAATATACTTTATAGTGAGTTTAAAGAAGTCTTGAGATCTCGTGCATGCTCCCGAAGATTAAATCATCGAGAGCTACATAAGTTATTCACATAAACTTTTCATGAATGGTTAGGCCAGACGGTAAACAACTAAATATTACGGAATACTTATAAATAATATATGCATTGCTCTTTATATCAACATCAATGCAAATTAATTCATCATTTATGTGTAATAGGTTTGGAGTGGGAGAGAAGTTAGTGAAGATGTTAAATGACTTTTTCAAGGTCCGAATAGAATAGATAAAAGATATAATGCCTTCCTCATTAATGGGTTCAGGTTCCACATGAAATCTCGTGAAAGATTAAGGAGGACACAAAATTGTGGACTCGTAGTTACTTCGTCAACTACAAGTTATGCTACTGTCAGGGACAATAATCTGCAGGAGGGAGAGGTCGATTATTATGGAAATCTTACGGACATTATTGAGTTAGATTATTATGGAAAACGAAAGGTTGTGTTGTTTCGGTGTGACTGGGTTGATGTAAATAGATGCATAAAAAGAGATAAATTCGAGTTTACAATGGTAAATTTCTCTCGATTAATTTATACGGGTCAGCGTTTGATGGATGAATCATATGTATTTTCTTCTCAAGTGAAACAAGTATTTTATTGTCACGATCCAATGGATGACGATTGGTATGTTGTGTTCCGAAATACTCCTAGAGATATGATAGACATCGGAGATGGAAGTAGAGATGAAATTGAAACAATATCAGAATGTTTACCTCTACTACCACAAAACTTAGATGAAATTATCATAAATACAACACAATTTCAATGGGTTCGAGAGGACGTTGATGAAGATATTTATGACAACTGACATTACATAAGAATGTCGTACGAGTTTATTTCTTCATTTATTTATTTATAATGTTATAACCTTTAACAAGGTTTCTCTTCCAATATATTAATTAATTAATTAGTTTTTTTATTACACATGTTTGTTTATTACAGATATCATGCCGATGAGAAAAATAACTGATTTACGGGTTTTTCAAGCTTCTGAGGACCATGAAGAAAGAAATAATAAGGAATGCACTTGAGTCTTCCGAAGTTCTTGAAATTGTTGAAGAAGAAGTAGAAATGCAAGGTAGTCTTTGAAAATTTATTTACTATTTTGTTCATTTTCAAAACTGACATTTAATAATTTCTTATATAGTTGAAAATGCTGGAACGCGCAAGACTTGAGGACGTACAACTTTGAAAGAATTATATCAACTTCCTCATGAGCATCGTGTTAAAGTTTTAAGAAACGATGCCGGTCAACCTATTGGCCCAGAAGCACGTCTTCTAGCAGGTTACGTAGGCATAGTTGGACGTAATGCGAATCTGTTACCGATCAATTATGAGTCATGGCGTGAAATGCCTAATAGTAACAAAAATCAGGCTTTGGATTTTGTTAAGGTAATAATGTCATTATTAGTATATATTCTATAGAAATTCAATACTAACGTATACTTACGGTGCACACTTATTTGTTGTATAGGAGAAATTTTCTTTACATGTCTCTGACAATTATGTAAAGCAAGCGTTAGGGAAGAGATGAAGGGACCATAAGAGCTTCTTAAAGAAGAAATACTTCAAGAATGATCTCAGCCTTGAAGAGAAGCTGCAAACAGTCCCACCTGGAATGCTCAGGTACCAATAGGAAGATGCAGTCAGATTTTGGAATTCACAAAAAGAACAGGTATGATGTATTTTTCAGAAATAATTGTAACGAATTATAAATCATCATTAAAAGTGGTTGTTTGACATTGTAGGACCGATAGCATGTTGGTGTTGCTAGTAGGCAACATCAAAAGTTTACGCACACGACTGGATTAAAGAGTTTTGCTTGTATAGCTAATGAGGAGGTATTATAGATTATTGACATTGTTTTTTGTATTCCATGTACATAGTAACTCATAGTAATTATATTATGATATATTGTAAGAAAATACATCCGGTTCTAAAGTTGGACGAATCCAACTATTCGACATGACATACGAAAAATGATGGAACTCCTATGAGTGCTGAAGCTTCAGAAATTATGGTACGGTTATTGGGTACATGTTTTAAATTGATCTGACTTTATTTATATTTGTACAATGACATTTTTTATTTTAATTAATTATTCACCTTATTATTAGAAAAAATTGAAGGAGAAAAGGGCGGAATATCATGTTACTGGTTCGAGTCACAGTCTTCATAATGATGATGACATTGAAAATTGAGCTATTAATGACATTTTGGGTCCTGAAAGATATGGTCGGGTGTGTTGTCAATGATCATTTGTTACTTCCACCAAATATTTTGGATCCAGTTCATCACAGTAAATGTCATCACAGTCTCAATCTTCTCAATTAGAAGTTAGTTGTTTAAAATAACTGTTGGCTGAGATGGATCAACAAATGGCTAACATGAAAGCGGAAAATGAAGCAATGGAAGTAACGACAACACAAAGAGAAGCAACATATCAGTAGAGATGTGAAGAATTTGAAAAACAAATCAATGATATGATGAATATGATACAGAAAACTTAACCTCAAAATCCATCATCATAGTCTCATTTATGTTATCATTATGTTATTGTTACTGAATAACTGAACTTATATTATGTTAATGAAAACTTTTATTTATTATATTGGATTTGATGTTTCTTGTTATGGGTATAGAGTTTGATGTTATTGCCGTTATATTTGTTGGATAATGGAACAGGTTGAAAAAATAGATTTGGGGTAATAGATAATAATTTTTTAACTGGTTAAATTCTGTATTATTTAACGGCGTTTGTTACAAAAAATGATGCAATATATCATACATTTAGCGGCGTTTGTATCAAAAAAATGTCGTAAAATATTAACACTTATAGTGGCGTTTTTTGTTACAAACGCCGTTATATACCAACTTTTATCGGTGTCTGTATACTAAAACACTGCTATATACCAGACCATCATCGGCATTTGTATCCTAAAAACGTCGCTATATACCAGATCTTTATCTGCGTTTTATCCTAAAATCGCTGCTATATACCAAATTTTTAGCGGCATTTGTACAATAAAAACGCCGCTAAATGTCAAAACCTATTGCTGCGTTTGTAAGACAAACGCCGCTAAAGATCAGAACTTGTTGCGGAGTTTGTCGAACAACCGCCGCTATATATCGTTACATATTGTGGCGTTTTTGGTTCACAAACGTCGCAAACTTTAGCAACGACATTTTTTGCGGCGTTTGTCATAACGTCGCACGTGCTTTTTGTGACGCTTAAAAACGTCGCTATAGGTCAAAACAAACGCCGCAAAAAGCCAGTTCTGCTGTAGTGATGCCAAACATAATAACATACTTTTAGAGAGAAAAAAACCTTACTCGAAGACCATATAGAGGTGATAATAGATAATATAAATTCAGACATTTATAAATATTTGATTTGTTTCTTTTAATTTGAATCATGTTCAAATTTACATTCTTATAGAGTTCGCAATGTGTTCAAAAGATGAGAATATTAAACTTTGAATGTTTATTATTTAGGGATTTTTTAGGAAACAAAAAGTTTGGATTGAACCTAATTTTATTTTAGAATATGGTTATACTCGAGTCAAATTGAATAACAAGTAAAAGAATAAATTATATTTAAATTATATTCAACTTAAATAAAATTTAGAACCGACTAGATACATGTCCACCCTCACTATTATCCAGAGAAACGATAGAAAAACTTTGTTAGTGTTTCCTCCATGTATATAGGTATAGTAAAAGCAGCCCACTGTTTTGGCCTCTAAGATTTGTTGTATTAAGTGTATCTCAAGTAATTAAATCATTAATCTTAACCAAAAAGAAAAATCACATGCTACGGGTGCAATAATTAGTAACACACCAACCTAATTAATTTGGTTCAAGGAAACCTGTTTAAGTTCTTTGTCATTTTTAAGAATTAATGCCTTGTTTTCTTCATTAATTAAGAGTTGTTTCATATGGAAAGGGGAAGGTATCTTTTAATGCAAAAGATTCGAAAAAGACGCAAACGTCTATATACTCCCATAGCTCTCCCACCTATATTTCTCCATTATATATTTCTAAATTGATATTTTTACAATTAAATATCACCCAAAAAAACTATTTCTTTGGCTTGCATTATAGAGAGGAGGGGCAGCCTCGTTTAAAGAAAGAGATGGTTCCATTAATGTTTCTGCTTGCTTTGGTCATCACTCGTCAATGCAAACCTTGACCCTTTTTGCAAAGGCCTTTTGTTTTATAACATGGTAAAGACACTGATAAGGACATGCGACTTATTTGTGACGTCGAAGCGTTAGGGTTAGGGCCATAGTAGGCAAGGAAACCCGGAGTGGTGCTGGCCACTCAACCCATTTTTATAAACCCCAAAAGCAAAGAATTCGGGGGGAGGAGGAAAATTATGTTCTTACTCATTGTACTCTTTAAATGTTTGAAGTTTAGTTCCTACATATTTTTATTTAAAAATTAAAACTCTTTTGATAACACCCAGAGTCGTCTCCGATATTTTTGGAGCCTTAAGCGAAAACTTAAAAATAGGTCATATAAAATAAAAGTATATTCTATTACTTTGAATAATCAATTTATTATTATATGAATAAATTATAGAAAATGATTAAATTTTGTCCAACACGTTTGTAGACAACCCATTTCATCCAATTATATATGCGTTACATTTATAATATTTATGTACATATATTATAACAAGCATATATTACATATCATTTATTCTATTATTTTACATGTTGCAGGCCCACAACTAGTACAAGAGTTCTGCAGCCCGTTGTGTAAAGAACAAGTGGCCCAGCAGCACACACGAACCGGTCAACCAGCTGCAACCCGCGTGAACCGGTCCAAGCCCTCAACTACCCAACAACTCCCACTATTTCCACTAAACCACTACCCCACCACTAAAGAACTTGCTGGCCACTACTCCCACTTTCATCACTTTTTAAACCTCTTTAATTCTCAAAATAAAAGCAAGGCTCAGTATCATCGTAAGGGGAACAAAAATCAGAAAATGAGGGGAAAATGATCAATCTCGGCTGAAATAAACTCCCATTCCTATTCTCTAAAAAAAATCCACTTTGATACACAGAGAGAGGAAGTTACGACAACAGCTCTTGGTTCTTACATGGCAAACATCAAGCCTTGTTTTTCTTCTTCTCGTGAAATGCTTGTTTCGAGTATGGTGAACATCAGAACTGAGCACAAAGAAGCATCTTGGACAAGGCTTGTGAGCTTCTCTAACATCTCCTTAGCGCCATGTGAGCTTCTCTAACATCTCCTCAGCGCCATCGCCTCAACTTGAAACGCCAAAGTAATTCTCCTACTTTCTCCACTTCTTACAACCACCCATTATAAGACCATTTTCACGTCTAATACCAACATCTGCCCATGCATGTTGCTATGCATGTGAATAACGAGCATCAAAATTGTCCTTCACGAATGAGGAGGGCGAAGCTTGCCACCACACAGGATGAATTACCAAGGGGGACCTGATTCTAACGTTAGCAGCAGTGAAGTCTCTGCACTGAAATCGAATTAAGGTTGGGCGTTTTGACTCCGGTTCTTTACGCTGTCGATCCTGTGCTCCATACCCTGACTTACGAGTACGTGGAAGGGCCTTTCGTCAAAGATGTTTTCCTCGGATTCGGGTCAAACGGCGTTGTTCAAGAATGTTTAGCCCATATAGCCACCCAAATTGGCGACGCAATAGGCAAACTCCACGACTGTGGACTTGTTCACGGTGACCTCACCATGTCAAACATGTTAATCAGAGATGGAACTAATAAGCTCGTCCTTATCGACTTCGGTCTTAGCTTTACATCAACGCTCCCAGAAGACAAAGCAGTCGACTTGTACGTGCTGGAGCGAGCTTTGATTTCAATGCATTCTTCGTGTGGGAACGTGGAAACCAAATAAGCACAATGGTTTTGAACTTTGGGTAAAATCATCATATGGTCCTTCATCTATTATGGACTTTTTTTTTATTTCATTTATTTCATTACTTTTGTTTTATTTTATTACTTTTAACTTTCCCTTTTGATTTATTTAATATTTAATATTTTTTTATTATTATTTTTCATTTATTTAATTATTATTTCTTAACTAAAATTTTTGTTTTTTTAATGGAATTTTAATTAATCAAAGGTAATTAATTTAGATTGAATTTTTAAATTTAAATTTTATTTTTATTTTTCGTAATTAAAGACAACCGACAAATTAATTGGTACCGAAAGGGCGGTTCAAGGGTGCTAATCCTTCCTTGACCGTAACCGACTCCCGAATCCGACACATTTCTGGTACAACGCAGATCAGGTAAGAAATAAGGTATTTGAT